AATAGACCTGCCCTAGGGCTTTCTTAGCTGTTATCTTGTAGATCACCAGGCCTTTATTTTGCAGCATTGATGGGTGGGTTTGAACCACTAACCTTTAGGTTAGTAGTCAAGCACAAATCATTGGCACCACCCAGGGAAGTAGACATCTCTAAGATGGTCTAGTTGGGTCTTTCCTCTCCCCTTGGAGGGACATAATCAAAGCTACATTTTATGCTACATGTACAGGGAAAAAAAAAAATCACTGCAGTCAAGTTGATTCGACTTATAGCAACCCCTCCTTGGGTTTTCGAGGCAGTATCTCCACGGAAATAGATTGCCCAATCTTCCTTCCAAGAAGTGGCTGGTGTGTTTGAACCATCAGCCTTCTGGTTAGCATTCAAACATCTTAGGCACTATGCCATCAGATGTCCCCTCTATAGGACAGTTCTTCAGATACTCTTTTTCTTGAAATTCTGATGCAGAATTTTTGGTAAATAACATCTCTGTTTATAGGCCCATGCACTATACTGTGCACTCATTGAAGACAGGCATTTCTTCAGTTTCCATTGGTAGATGTTGCACAATCTTTGGTACCTAGAAAGCATTATTTATTATTAAATTTAAAAAAAAAAAAAGTCTTCAGTAAAATAATCTCATTGCTACTAATGAGATTGGAAGTGAGTTGTATATGAGTATCTATTTCACTAACAGTAAAAAGTGAGCAGCAATATTTCAGATTTCTCAACCCAGAAGTGACTGAGCACTTACTTGGTGTCAAGTATGTATTATCTTGCTTTACTGGCATAGCCATTTCTGAAATGGGCACTTTAGTTTTTCTTCTTAGAGAAGTGAGGTTTTGAGTGGTTTTCCAGTGCTCAAAGTGATATATAGAAGTTATATCCAAAAAAAGTTTTACTCTGAAAGGAAAACCCTTTAATCTATTTACAGTGATGCAACTATGGTCCTCATAATACAAGTAACCGCCCACCCCCGCCAAGCTTCTTCTGGAGATCCCAGTGTGCACCTTGACAATGGGCAGAGTTAGATGAGCAACCACCTGTAAAGCTAGCCCAGGATTCATTTGAGACCTATCTTAACTAAGAAAATAAATGAGTGACTTATTAATGATTCAGTCACAGATAAGGATATGTTTGAAGTATTTTTCAAACTTTAACATTTACATGAATCACCCAGGGATCTAAT